CGATCAAAATAAAAACTTTATTTTGAACAGGGAATCAACGCCTTAAGATTTGCACATTTGTTTTGAATCAGTGTTAAACATAATTGGTCATATAAACTTCCTGTAATATATCAATTTAATTTTTTTGATAATTCGTTGCTTATATTTCATTTTTAACTTTGATAAATCGTTTTGTTTCTTTATTTTGGACCTCCGCTGGAAAAAACTATTTTACGAATTAAAAGGGCGCGAATTGAAGATTAAATTTCAACAAAATATGTTTGATTTCAGTTTTGTAGCAAACACGGATACGCCATTAAAAGTTTTCTGAAATACCGTATTTGGTAAGAGCAAAGTTCATTTCGGGGTCTCCAGTTTTTGGTGTCGGCGAAACCGACGCAAATAGTCCGTCGTTTAGGTCACCGTCGCTCTCGAAAACTTTTAAACGAAATTTTTTACTCGTTCCCTTAAACCACACTAAGTCGGAATTTTAATCAGGTGTAATAAAACAAGAAGAAGACCAACCCTATAGACTTAATGGGCTTCGCCAATGGAAATGGAATTTAAATTAAAGCAAGGAGGTTTTTTTTACAAACGCGCGGCTGTCGTCCATTTGTTTAAACTCCATACTTGCTAATATTTTCGAAGATCGATATGTGGAAACCTCTTCACGTATCAAAATTGGTTTTTTGTGTTAATAGCTACATAAAAATAAAATATTCTTAGACCTAATTTCAGATATTCAATAATACGTGTTATTAACCAATATCAATTAGTGCAAGCATAGTGGTAATCAGTGCTCATTACTGTAATTATAGTGCTAATATTAGGTAACTTTAAAATCTTGTCGTAATGTCAGACGTTACGACTCTTAAAATTCTTTTGAAAAATATCTGCAACTTAGATGCTTAAGAAATAGAAAAATGTAGCGTGATATATGCAACTTAGGTGCTGTAGAAATAAAAAAATGTTCTGCAGTATATAATGACGGACATGATCGATTTAAAAAAGTTATAGTTTAAGTATTCTCTATGAACCTCTTAACTGGATAGAACATAGGCAGTTTCAACTTATTAAATATAAACAAAACTATAAAGTTCTGAAAGATTCATTTTAGCAAGCTTAAATTGTATTACTTATTTTGAGACTTACATATGAAAAAATACACTTTTCTGGACTGGAGTTCGAGTATGAATTAACATTTGTGGCTTATACGCGTTGTAAATAAGTAATAAGCCAAGTGTTAAAATCCTTGAACGTATTCAGCAAAGTGGTCTGGAGTCTTTAACATTTTCTTTATCGCTGTTAAGTCAATGATTGGTTAAACTTGATATTTGACGATGATATTTTCACATTATGCACATTATGTAATACTCGCAATAAGCATTAAGAAGAAAAAGTTAGATTAATATACTTTATCCACGAATTTACAGTTGATATTTTGATCATGGCAATGTATGCGATGTGCCTATATTTGCCAAAACTTATTTTTCAGTAATTGTATTTTCTTGGCTTAAAATCGACAATTTTTAAGATTTACACCGGTACATGTAAAGTTTCTTGTAATAGTCATATATAAAAACATGAACTTTAAATTGCTTTTCTTTGGTAACGGGGTTGGCAGCCAACAAATATTTATTACCTAACCTGACATTTTAACAGAATCACATATATTTAGTGTTTATTACGCTCATGTTGAGAATAGAATTAGGTATTGAATAATATATGGTCGGTATTTCCAAATCTACTTATTGTACGACTTATTTTAATTGTATAGTGTATTGTATAGTCTATGTATTTGAAATGTCTGTTTATGTGTTTCAAAATAAGTCAGGTTTTGTGTTGAACAGCAATTTTCACTCAGCGTATACAAGTGTACGTGGTGTGCGACTTTTTAACTTCTTACCGAAATAAATAAAAATGTGTGATAATTTATGCGTTTTTAAAAAAAATGTAATTAAATGCCTGTACTCAGTAGAAGAGTACTTTAGTTAGTCTTATCCCTCGTTGTTTATAGATTATTGTTTGTAGTATTGGATTATGCGTCATTTTATTTTATTTTGTTGACAAGATTATTATCACTGCAGAGCGCTTGTAACACCTCAAATTTATTTTCCCGCGTTAAACTCATATCACGCAGGATTTAAGCCTTTGTGAACAAAAATGTCACCAGCATTGGGTGTACTAAAATGTAAACAGTAGTTTGAAGCACAAGTCAAAAATAAACTATGCCATTAAAGGTTGAAAACTTTAATGCAGTGATTTTTTGTCTGCCGGTCAAGCTAAAACGATTACTCAAACCCTTTCCGTGTCGCGGTATCTTGACAACAGTGAATGAAAATTTAATCAATGTCCGCCCGAATAGACCGCCCTGTTGAAATTTATTCGATCGATTGACCATCATTGGACTAAAATGCCATTACGTACACTTTACGACATAACAAACAACAAGTGTCATCTACATAGTTCAACGACCGCCTACTGGTGGAACCCCACACTCTAGACACTGTTAAAGTTTAATTAAAATGTTATTGAGGAGTGGTATGGCCACTCATAAACAATAGTATATTATGGAACGAGTGACTTAAAAAGTTTACCGAAAGTGCTGCATACTATAATATAATAACATACTTTTGATATAGAAGCAGTTTTCTTTACTGCTGATAGTAGGAAATGTTTCAAATACCATGAAAAACTTTTAAAAGAAGTGGACGTGATGTTTAACATCTTAGTTTTGGTTAATTTTAGTTAGTTGGAGCCTCACAGGCATACGGAAGTTAAACTGCGGACACGTACGAGTGACATGGACGCGCGGCCTCTGAAGATGCCAAGTGAGATTTTGGCGAAACGTCAGGCGAATGATCCTACTCCAGGGTCAAACAACGAACGGATGAACACCCGGATTACCACCAATACACATAGTTCCATCCGTGAAGGACTAAAACATATATATATATATATATATATATATATATATATATATATATATATATATATATATATATATATATATATATATGATGACACTATATTCCGGGATATCATCCGTTCGCTCGTTGAACTCCGACTGGAATCCTGCATCCGACTGGAATCCTGCAGATCTTGCATCCGACTGGAATCCTGCAGACGTTTCGCCAAAATCTCACTTGGCATCTTCAATGCTCGCGCTCCGAAAACACTTCGAACACTCGGAGCGCGAGCATTGAAGATGCCAAGTGAGATTTTGGCGAAACGTCTGCAGGATTCCAGTCGGATGCAAGATCTGCAGGATTCCAGTCGGATGCAGGATTCCAGTCGGAGTTCAACGAGCGAACGGATGATATCCCGGAATATAGTGTCATCACATTTTTCCATCCGTGAATCAATACGTGAGAATATATATATATATATATATATATATATATATATATATATATATATATATATATATATATATATATATATATATATATATATATATATATATATAGTTGAAAAATATGCTTTTCTTGGATCCTTGTATATTTTTTATAGGATGATTCTTAGGATTTGGTCCACAGTGAACAAAACTCACAAATAATTTTAAAACACTGTAATTGTCATTGACGTTTCGACCGGCAACCCAGGTCTTTCTCAAAAACTGCAAAACAAAGGACAAAAAAAGCGTCTAACACAGAATATCTTAAACAGTAGACATATACGAATTTAAAAATTACAAATATTATAAAAATAAATGACATATATTAGTCATACTCACAAATTTATTATTTTTTTTTTAAATGTCTATTATTAGCGCTGTTTGTGAAAAAGTACCACAACATACATCATTGCCAAAAACAATAACGTTCTTGCCTTGGCGTACGAATCACAAATAGAAGTGGAAAATAAACATTCATTGTATCTGATGTCTTTTTTTTTTACCTCTTTGTTTTTATTTATTTATTTTTTTAGAGTGTACGTTTGTGTTAAGTTTAAGATCTACTGATACGCAGTGAAGCATCTGAGCATTAAAATGGTCTACTTTAACAATTCGAAATAGATTTCACTCAGGTGTTTTATGTCGGTTTTCGCGTTTATGGCGTTTTTATTCCTTTGAATATGTATCATCTCAATTATTTCCCTTTTTTGTGTGTTTGGTTCGGTAGCAAGTATTTTTGTGTCATCGAAGTTAAAGGTATGTGTTTTCTCCGTTATATGGCTGCTGATGGCTGTGACTGTGACCAAGTGTACATTGGACAGACTAGCCAACTGTTGAAGAACCGCATCAATGGTCATAAGTACGACAAAAAAAATAAAACAGCCATCAGCAGCCATATAACGGAGAAAACACATACCTTTAACTTCGATGACACAAAAATACTTGCTACCGAACCAAACACACAAAAAAGGGAAATAATTGAGATGATACATATTCAAAGGAATAAAAACGCCATAAACGCGAAAACCGACATAAACACCTGAGTGAAATCTATTTCGAATTGTTAAAGTAGACCATTTTAATGCTCAGATGCTTCACTGCGTATCAGTAGATCTTAAACTTAACACAAACGTACACTCTAAAAAAATAAATAAATAAAAACAAAGAGGTAAAAAAAAAAAAAGACATCAGATACAATGAATGTTTATTTTCCACTTCTATTTGTGATTCGTACGCCAAGGCAAGAACGTTATTGTTTTTGGCAATGATGTATGTTGTGGTACTTTTTCACAAACAGCGCTAATAATAGACATTTAAAAAAAAAATAATAAATTTGTGAGTATGACTAATATATGTCATTTATTTTTATAATATTTGTAATTTTTAAATTCGTATATGTCTACTGTTTAAGATATTCTGTGTTAGACGCTTTTTTTGTCCTTTGTTTTGCAGTTTTTGAGAAAGACCTGGGTTGCCGGTCGAAACGTCAATGACAATTACAGTGTTTTAAAATTATTTGTGAGTTTTGTTCACTGTGGACCAAATCCTAAGAATCATCCTATAAAAAATATACAAGGATCCAAGAAAAGCATATTTTTCAACAATATATCGTGCAAGGGAAAAGATGCACTTCTACCAAACAATAAGAGCCAACTACGGACAGGAAGCAGTTAACCTGATGAAGAGATATGCAAACCTCAGTCAAAAGATAGCAAAGCAGAAGAACCGAAGAATTTTCCTGTTAAGATGCAAGCATGACAAGTTAACACCGGTATTTTTAAACATTAACCTAAAGCATGTAAAATTTGTTTGCGCGAATAACCTGCGTACTTTTAAAGACAAAGTTATGAACAAGTTTGTAAGTAGTACCCTCAAATTATTGATCACTGATACAGCGAGTGCTCTGAGATTTTTGGAAAGGGAAAAAAACATTGTTTACAACCACTTAGTTGGCAGAATACCTCAAATATATTTGAATGATTTTTTAAAAATAGTGTTCGGCAAAACTGAAGATGGTTTTAATAAAATTAAGCAAAATAATTGTAAAAAAATTCATTCTCTAAAACAGTATCAAAATAATATGGATACCATAGTACAAAATAAGAACTGGGTAGAAAATTTAACTAATATTTATATTCCGCGTAACGTGCTTGAGATCTTTAGTCTTGGTCCAGATTTTGCCGTCCCTATCAGCCAACCAAAAGAGATACCCATTCCTAACATCATCAGCAGTATTGAGTCAGCTCTTAGAAACTGTTCAACCGACGCACGGAATGACTATAGATCAAAATGCTGTAATATTATTAGAAACTACAAAAATAAGCAAAACTGGACTGCTAACCAAACCCAAAATATGTTAGTTAAAAAAGTTAAAGAAACCCAACATTTTCTAAAACAAAACCCTAACATTATAACGTTAAAACCTGATAAGACTAACAAAACAGTCATAATGTACACTACCGACTATGACAATAAAATAAATGAACTTCTATCAGATAGGGCCACATATAGAGAATTAAAAAACGATCCCACAAACATATTTCAAAAAAATAACAACGATATAATAAATCGATGGGAAAAAGCTCTCCTAATCTCGCCGCAAACTGCAAAACACTTAAAAATTAATAATGCTATCACCCCAAGGATCTACGGCTTACCAAAACTGCATAAACAAAATATCCCGTTAAGACCTATTGTCTCTTGCACTCAGTCCCCTTTCGAAAAATTATCAAAATTCTTAAAAAACATCTTAAAAAACATAGTGAATGATAATGAATACTATATTAAAGATTCGTGGCAGTTTAAAGAAAAAATTAGCAGAATCATTCTACCGCATGACCACATTTTAGCATCTCTAGATGTAGTGTCCCTCTACACAAACATTCCTATCGATTTAGCTATAGACATAATAAATAAAAAATGGGACATGATCAAACTTCACACAGACATTCCACTAGACGAGTTCGTGGAAGCCATAAAATTAACTCTAAATTCGACCTATTTCATATATAATAATAAATATTACAAGCAGCGCAACTTGTTCTCGAAGACCTAGAAAAAACAGTTATTGACAAAATGACTATTAAATTACCCTGTTTCTATCGATATGTCGACGACTGTTTTCTAGCAATACCTAAAGAAAAGGGCGACCTCATTCTGAATAGTTTTAACTCATATCACACAAAGATAAAATTTACCATAGAATATGAAAAAGATGACAAAATTAACTTCTTAGACATGACACTAATACGCAAGGAAAACAAAATCAGAACGATGTGGTACACAAAAGATACATGGTCTGGACGATACCTTAATTTTCACTCCCAACACCCAATATCACAAAAAAAGACTGTTATTATCGGGTTGGCTGACAGAGCTATAAATCTATCTGATCCAGAGTACAGAAAAGAAGCTGTATATAAGGCTAAGTACACACTAAAACTAAACAATTACCCAAGTGCCTTAATTAACTCTATTTTTAAAAGAAGGATACATAAATTCTACAACAAGATTTCTGTTAAGGAAAACACACAACCATCAAAACGAGAATATTGTTCGTTGCCATACATACCAAATTTATCGGAAAAAATCTCGAATGTGTTTAAGGGAAGCTCTGTAACAATCTGCCACAAGGGTCAAAATTTGTTAAATAGGAATTTCAGTAAACTAAAAACACCAATACCCAAAGATAAAAAAAGTCACATTGTATATCAAATACCATGCAACGACTGTGACCAAGTGTACATTGGACAGACTAGCCAACTGTTGAAGAACCGCATCAATGGTCATAAGTACGACAAAAAAAATAAAACAGCCATCAGCAGCCATATAACGGAGAAAACACATACCTTTAACTTCGATGACACAAAAATACTTGCTACCGAACCAAACACACAAAAAAGGGAAATAATTGAGATGATACATATTCAAAGGAATAAAAACGCCATAAACGCGAAAACCGACATAAACACCTGAGTGAAATCTATTTCGAATTGTTAAAGTAGACCATTTTAATGCTCAGATGCTTCACTGCGTATCAGTAGATCTTAAACTTAACACAAACGTACACTCTAAAAAAATAAATAAATAAAAACAAAGAGGTAAAAAAAAAAAAAGACATCAGATACAATGAATGTTTATTTTCCACTTCTATTTGTGATTCGTACGCCAAGGCAAGAACGTTATTGTTTTTGGCAATGATGTATGTTGTGGTACTTTTTCACAAACAGCGCTAATAATAGACATTTAAAAAAAAAATAATAAATTTGTGAGTATGACTAATATATGTCATTTATTTTTATAATATTTGTAATTTTTAAATTCGTATATGTCTACTGTTTAAGATATTCTGTGTTAGACGCTTTTTTTGTCCTTTGTTTTGCAGTTTTTGAGAAAGACCTGGGTTGCCGGTCGAAACGTCAATGACAATTACAGTGTTTTAAAATTATTTGTGAGTTTTGTTCACTGTGGACCAAATCCTAAGAATCATCCTATAAAAAAAATATATATATATATATATATATATATATATATATATATATATATATATATATATATATATATATATATATATATATATATATATATATATATATATATATATATATATATATATATATATATATATATATATATATATATACCCACCCGGGCACCCGATATATAAGGAAAAAAATAAAAAAATCGTTTTTATCCTTTTCATCGATTATAAAGATAAAAGCGTTTCTTTATAGAAAACAACATAAAAGTACCAAATAACTAAAATTTCCTTTATATCACGTCGACCGAAATTCTACGAAAATATTGTGTTAAGAACAATCGGGAATACAATTTATTTCGAAAGTTTCCATCTCGCGCGAAGCGGTAATGGGTATTTCAATTTTATTCTATAATAAATATTTTCTTTCGATATAAAATTTAAATCGGGTTCAATATTAAAGGCGGGTGGTTGGTCAGGGCTAAATCTGGTTTCTCATACCAAATGGATTCAGCGACGCGGCGGAAAAATTTATTTCACTCGGATTCTGGTCTATCGAAAACAGAACTTCGCCTATTAGCAAATGAACAAAATTGGTTTGAAAGCATTTGAAGCGAATTATGACTCCAATTAGTTCGTAAACAACAGTGATGAGCATTTTTCATATAGAATAATTTACTGACATTCGTAATTGTTATAATTGACCAGAAACAGTTTTGATGCGGTTACATGGACATGTTTACATTAAATTGCATCATTATGAAAGCAGGAAATTTTTCATTTAGGCACTACAAATTGGTATGCATATTTTCCAGCGTTCTTTTACATGTTGCTTTTGTGGAGTTTACATCGATAACAAGTAAATTTGGTTATTTTTTTTTTCATTGTGTGTCTGTGGAAATTTTAATAACAAAGATTGTTTTTGTTAATTACGTTGGTTGCTACCACAATGGCTAGGTTTTTGCTGCTTTAGTTTTTTTTTGGAAAGCCAGAATTTGAAAACGTTCGTGGCTTTAAGTTCGAACTTTTAAGCAGCTCTTGCTTTATACGGTTATTCGCAAGTCATAAGGACTGGACTAATGGAAGGTATTTTACATGCGTTTTTTTAGACACTACACACACTGCGTAAAACAAGCTGGTGGGGAATATTCATTAGTAACACCTCGGGAGGTCAAATTATTAGTCGATATTTTTACATAATATTCATGCTCGATAAGAAAATTCCACACCAGTAGTTTTTAAACAACCACAACTGATTTTGTTGACAGAATTCTATGTTTCTATAGAAATTTCCATTATAATTCGTTGTTAGGTATCCACAAGGAAAAAAATTTCACTAAAATTCATCCGTGGCCGATTGTGGAATTTTGCCATAAATTTCCTCTATATTTCTAAGTTTATACGCCTGTCAAATTTCGTGTAATTCTTGGCAACTTCAAATTAAACTAAAAACCTCCGGTGACATTCAGGATGAGGAGAAATTCCTGCTTGCTACAAAAACTACAAATTTTGGAAAAAAACAATGTTATACCGCTCTGTAATGTGCAGATTAAAACTATTTTCTATTTGTTTTCAATTTGACAATTTTTAGCGTTCCTCGAAATGAAACATTTCCTGACCTAATTTGATTTATTTATATTATATTTACATTTATAATATATTTATAGATTCATCGACTACCAAAGTGTTGATGCGATTCAAGCCGCATTGTACAAGAAAGGTCTACTATTGTTCCTAGTTCTTGGTATTACCTTCTGGATTGATATTCGCAGTTACATTGGCAGAACTAAAAAATGATAATTATAAGGAATTTTACTACTTCGCAGTTCGATAACCCTTTGAAACTTTCTTGATAATTATCGGAAGCAGTAAGCCCCATTCTAATATATTACGACTATCATGCGATGGCTGAAACTAACCCAAAAACCTGTTGCGCAAACTAATTTGCGGTCCTTTTTATAGCTTGAAATAGTTAGCAAATGAGGGCACAAATGTGTATTCACTCCGGCTAGAAAATGAACGTTCAAACGTGCCCCACGAACGACTGATAAATTATCAAAGAGAAAAGAAGCTCGGCCAACGTATAGTTTAGCCCAGTCTCAAATTTCCCGCAGCCTTTTTTCTCGAAATTTACTAATTATCGGTGTAATTCATCTTGTAGTTGTAGCGTCCATACTTTAGAGACGTTAAGGGCATTGACGTCAGCAAAATTTGCAAGTCACGTGATGTTCGGAAGAAGCGCTATTCAAATTTATTGTTTTGTAAATTAATAAATATACGAAGATCGGTATTCGTGTAACCAATACAAAAAATATTACAATTTTTATTCAAAGGTAATTAATGGAAAGGCGAACACCTAATTATTTAAAAATATTTTTTGAGATATAAATATATTTCAATTTGCAAAAAGAATATTTTAAATTATATTTAAATAAAACATTTTATGAAGAAGAATAAGAAGAGCTACTTTTCATTTAAGTTTCTATAACAATAAAATCGTAAAAATGAGAGTATTGTTTCTTTGCTGAGAAGTAGAGAGATCTTTTAAAGCCATTTTTCATATTGTCATGGCAATAATTGGGACTCTAACACACCAATACTATCGATAAATAATACCCACTTTAACTGTTTAATATTTAACACATAACAATGCCATTAATAAAACTACATATTTGAACAGTATTAAAATTATACTCAAAAAGAAAATTAAGTGACTGTTAAGTTAAAAATGACCCAAAAAGATCTAGCCAGAAGGACTGACACAACAGTTATCTCTGAAATAACTTACATCGGTCGGAGAAAGAACTTTTATCATAGTTGACAAGTACGTGTTTCGTGGGTGTTAGGCACTCAAAGGCGCCATACACGGTGATTTTTCAAGCCCGATTACGCTTATTAAAAATGGAGCGGACACGACCAGGGAATGTTACCGCTTTTGTCATTTTCTTCTAAGACTCTTTGTAACGGTTGCATATTATGGCAACATTTTCTTGTAGCATTTTTGATGAATATGGACTCGCACCTAATTTTGCTGTAAGCTTATTTTCACATTCTCGTTAATTTAAAAGTGGTTACTCGGTCTATACCAGGGATTCGTAAAATGATATTCTCGATAAAATTGTACTTTGTCTTTAAAGCCCAGTAAGGGAATTAATAAACGGTCCTTTGTCGCGTTAAAGCTGAAGAGAATCTTTTCTAAAAGTTTAAATTTCACTTTTTGGAATATTCCCCCTTATGGCTTCAATTTGTTGCTTCAAATCGGTGGACCCTGAAAATCAATCATTGAAGTGGAAAATAGAGAATTTGCTAACTTTATGCTACGTTAAATTCCTATGAATTCAAAATAAATAAGAACTAAAAGTTCAGATTTTCACGAAATTATATATTTTTACATGACAATTGTTTCGACAACACCGTGACTTTATCAAAATTTGATAAAGACATGGTGTTGTCGAAACAATTATCATGTCATAATATATAATTTCGTGAAAATCTAAACTTTTAGTTCTTATTTATTTTGATAAATGGATTTTCATCAAGTAAAAGTCACCTCAGTTCAATTCCTATGAATTGTCTAG